GGGGGTTGGACTAGAAGACCTCCAAGATCCCTTCCAACTCTGTTATTCTATTCTATTCTATTCTATTCTATTCTATTCTATTCTATTCTAATGCATTTTTCGTCAACATCACTCCTCAAGAACAGACTAGCTTCATTCGGACCTATTACATATTTTCCCTTCCTCCTAGTTTCACAAACATGCAACACATCTATTTTTCTGTCGTTTCATTTCCTTTCATTTGTGAAATTACGTTCCTTTTGGAGTTACCCTTTTTGCATACCAGGAAACAATCTTGATGATGCCTTTCTACTTAGGGATATATTGATTGAAGGAGCACTGTCTAAGTGGGGGGGGAGAAGTGGGGAGGAAAATACCAATTTCTCAGTAAACTGAGGCTATTTCTCTATCACAATTTTCAGATAAAATTCTTAAAATGTAATCAGAATCTTGCCGAGAAAGATTACCTTTTCAGGTTTATCTTTTCATGTATCTTTTTTTCTGCATTATGCAGTAGGAAAGTTGAGATTAACCAGGGAATCATGAAAATATGAAGAATCTGCCAGGCCTTGTAATTATAATTATGGAATTTATGGCTAATACACAAGATAAAATCAGCTGCTATTGTTAAAGAAACCATATTAATGTGTACTTTTGTATGGGTTGCCAGGGTGCTATTAACGCTATCTATGTATTTAACTTGTATAATAATACTTCCCTTGAGTATTGTCGATTTTTGTCAAAATCTTGTCAATTTCTTTACAAAAAGAAGAAAACACAAGGGGCAATAGGGTGAAATGAATAAGGTGTTTGACTGGTACTGTGATGAGCCAGTATTTACTCCATCTTCAGCCATGGAAATTAATTGGGTGATATAGTTGTTGTTGGCCTATTGTTGTGAAGAAAAATAGGAAGGAGTAGTACATATGCTATTTTGAACTCCTGAATGAAATGTGGAATATAATTCTAATATACAAATTAAATAATGAGAGGCCTGCTAAGCCAAAAACGGGGGTGAGAGTCCGTTTTTGCTCCCAGAAGGCTTCCCTGAGGCCTGCTAGGCCAAAAATGGGATGTGGGGGTGCTGAAAAAGAAAGAAGGAAAAAAGAGAGAGACAGAAACAGAAGAGAGAAAGAAAAAAGGGAGAAAAATAGAGAAAGAAAGAAAAAGAAAGGGAAGGAGGGAGGAAAGGAAAAAGGAGAGGAAGGAAGGACTACAAACCTGGCACTAGATGCAGCTTCAGAGGATAATCCAAGGCTGGGAGGGACTTGGAGGTCATCTAGTCCAACCCTGCTCCAGTAGGACATTGTTAAATGAGTTTCTGTCTTTTAATTCTCCAGTTACATGGCTACATAGTCACATCACCCCCACCAAGCCACGCCCACAGAACTGGTAGTAAAAAAATAGATTTTAGCACTGATTAGGAGTATGAGAAGCTACAGAAGTATCACACCATGAATGAGGAACTACAGAGAGTGTGGAAAGTAATAGGTAAAGTAGTACCAGCTCAGTACTTCTAAACTCCAAGAGGTTCAGTAGTTCCTTGGAATAACATCAGAGATCTCGGTCCAGAACAGTGCAGTACTAAGAATAAGTAAAATCCTGTGTAGACCCGTCAAATTCCCAGATCTCTTGTAGAGAACCCAAGATTGAAAAAGGCACCGTCTGTAGCTCTGAGAAGGTTGGGTTTTTTTCCTTGGTATTTTGATGCTTTTTCCTGTCTCTTCTTTTTCAGAAACACACACATAAAAATCTGTATGTCCAAGAAAGGTTACCCTTCCCCCCTTCCCCGCACAAACACAACACCTTTCTGCTAGATTGTGTGTCAGACCTGGAAGCCGTCTTTTACCTTTGGGACTTAAGCCACATTTTCTATTGTGGGAAAATGGGAGGCGGGAGAGAGTGTGGGTGATTATAGTCATAATAATATTCTTTCTCAGAAAATCAAGGCCATCATGCCCTGCATCTGCGGGGAGGTGACTGGGAAGCATCTCCAGTTTTGGATGCTGCCTGATTGGATCATGTGGTGGACATGTGGATGCAGGAACTTGGTCTTTCATTTGGGTGGGGAACACCTGGCAGCTTTCAGATTCGGATTTTCCCAGATGTGCCAATATGACATCTCTCATCAAATGGAACTTTGAGACAACTCAAGTCTTGGAGTTTTCTTTCATTAGGGGTGTTACCTGGAACCCTGACATAGTGCTTTGTTGCTGCTTCCTGCTCTCCAGTTATCGCAACAAAATTATCACAGCTTTCTGCAATACATCACAGTCTTTTTTTTAAAACTATAGTACCCAGAAGAGGTCTCAGTGGGGTTGAGATTGAATCAATGAATTGAAGTGGATTCTGACCAGAACTTGAGAAAAGTTTTTTTTTTTCTCTCTTTTCCTAAAGAAGTAATCAAAAGTGTTTCTTTATTATGGACAATAGTTGAATAACCTTCTCATATTTTTAAAACAGCTCCTTTAAATTTTAGGCCTCATTTTTAGGCATACATTGCAATGGGGTAAGAATTATGTAAATAGAAAAGAAAATCATCAAAAGAAAGTTGGGAACAAGGGGGCTAAAGATGCTTTTTTCTAGAGTCAACTGAGCTTTCTGATTTTTCTTTGAAGACATTTTGCTTCTAATCCAAGAAGCTTCTTCCTCTCTAAAGAAGGCAGGAGAATTCTTTAGGGGACTAAACTTTTAGTGTGACTAAAAAACCATGCAAGTTTTAGTAGGCTTTTACTGTAGCGGGTGTTCTCATGTTCTTGTCATGGTCAAAGAAACATCTTTCCACTCTTTATCATAGACATCATTGAAAGAAGAACTTGAAGCACTTGAAGTGGCTGGGGATTTGCTCCCACTCATTGAAAAGAAAGGGAATTAAACAACCCACTCTGGGATGGTTACGTGTAAAGAGTTACCAATTATCTGTAATATTATCATTGTTAAAATCCCTGTGCATCCTCTTGTTCACAGCATAATGAAACAGCCATTCTCGAAGATGAGGTGGGGGGATAGAGTGGTTTCCTTGGAGATGAAATTGACTGTAAATTAGAGCTCTCACATATCGGAAATTGCATTATTTTATTTCCACAATTCATATATCATTTTCTTCCAAAGGAGGGCTGTGCCCTAATGCGTGTTAGCACTTAGCCAATGAAGAGAATTGAGGTTTGTGTGTCTGTGGAAATGAATTTTCTCACGCTATAGGTGTTATATTGCAGTTTCATCTTTAGTGTAGGTGTATTAACTTGAGTTTGTGAGTGAAGGAGTTGAGCCAACAGTTGAGCTTTTATTGTTATTTTTAACAAATATCGACAGCCATTTCTAATACATTTAACTATAAGTGGCTGGAAAGGTGGGTAAATGACCTCTCCCTACACACACACACACACACACACACACACACACACACACACACACACACACTTAAGAATACAGTTAAAATTCATGAAGGATAAGCATACTACTCCTGGCACAATTAATTTGGAGATAGGTTTGCTTTTCCCACTTAAGATAGAAATGAAGTTTCCAACAGGAATGGCAATAAAGAGCTTCATATATTTTGCTCCTTAATCCAATTTTGGAGAAATACAATAGTTAAAACATTTATCACTGGTTCAGCAAAGTAGAATTAATTGATATTACATGTGACCAAGGAAGATGTGGAGATATAGGGTCTGAATTATTTGTGGGAAAACTTGTTTTTTGCCAGTTCTCTGCTATTATGATAAAAAGGCTTCAGAGAGATTGTGAAGAAATAGCCATCTAGTTGACTTTTCACAGATAGCTGTTTATTTCAAGGTTACTCAGTAGCATTGAAATCTAACAGTTCAACCATTTTCTTGACTCTTACAATATTTATTCAATGAAGACATAAGTTGCATGGGATAAAAGGTAAAATATGAAATATACTATCCGAATAGCAAATACAAAAGAGTAATATTAATCATATTGGTAGAAGAGGAAGAATGGTGTCCCCATTTTTAACTAATGTTGCATCCATATTTGTGCTTTATTTTAGCGGGTCATTGTGGAATTCCAGATCTTATCGTTAATGGTCAAGTGATCGGTGAAAATTATGGATATAGAGACACTGTTGTATATCAGTGCAGCCCTGGCTTTAGGCTCATTGGTTCTTCTGTACGGATCTGCCAGCAAGATCACAACTGGTCTGGTCAGCTTCCATCCTGTGTGCGTAAGTAACACAACAGAGGTTATCATGTGCTTTATGATATCTGGTTTTTCTAAGATGATGAAAGAGATAAAGCTGGAATAAGAGCTAACAGTTAGGATTTTCTTGTTCAGATAAGTTGGGGCTAGGAAGGACCAGTCTGGAGACAGATTCTCCTGGAGAAAATCTATTCATGCAGTTGCTAAGAGTGGACATTGGCACATAATAAATCAATAATGCCAAGAATTCATAGCCAGAAGCATAGGATCGCAGCACATTTGTATCTACAGTGTCTTGGAAAAAGCAGTGCTACACTGAAAGACACCCCCCCCCCAAAAAAACCACCTTAATTTATAATTGTATAGGATATTATTTTACATATTTTATTGATTAAAATTTAGTTTTATAATGAAATCCTATTAAAATACCATATTATATATTGCTATAATTTAAAAGTACAAATCTTCTTGTATCGTTCAATTCAGTATTTATTTTCCTGAAAATAAATAAAATGGAAAATAAATATAGTCACAATGATATAGCCATTAGAATTTGATGTTCAGGTTTCAACATGTGAAAGCGTCAGTAATAGTGAATAGCATTCATATCAATAGGTTATCACCACCTATTGGTTTTTTCTTTCTTTCTTCAACATATCATTGATATCAGTTGCGTAGTCGTGTCTGACCCATCGCGACCCTATGGACAATGTTCCTCCAGGCCTTCCTGTCCTCTGCCATCCCCCGGAGTCCATTTAAGCTCACCCCAACTGCTTCAGTGACTCCATCCAGCCACCTCATTCTCTGTCATCCCCTTCTTCTTTTGCCCTCAATCTTTCCCAGCATTAGGGTCTTCTCCAGTGACTCCTGCCTTCTCGTTATGCGGCCAAAATATNCAGCTTCTGCCAACCTAGCAGTTTGAAAGCATGTAAAAATGCAAGTAGAAAAATAGGAACCACCTTTGATGGGAAGGTAACAGCATTCTGTGCACCTTTGGCATTTAGTCATGCCAGCCACATGACCACAGAGATGTCTTTGGACAGCGCTGGCTCTTTGGCTTTGAAATGGAGATGAACACACCCCGCTAGAGCCAGAAACAACTAGCACATACGTGCAAGGGGAACCTGTACCTTTACCTAGTCTACAGTTTAGGTACACAATTGTGTCAAGAATTTATGATACTATGCAAGGCAGTTATTGAATGAGTCATGCCCAATTTTATGACCTTTTTTGTAAAGGTTGTTAAGTGAACCATGTGGTTGTTAAGTGAATCCTGTTTTCCACTTAGACTTTACTTGTCAGAACATGCTGGGAATGTGGCAAATGGTTGATCACATAAGCCTGGACACTGCAACTGTCATAAATATGTAAAATTATAACCATGTGATCGTGGGGAATGCTGTGTTGGTCATAAGTGCAAGGACTGGTTGTAATTCAGTGCCATTGTAACTTTGAGTGGTTGCTTAAATGAATTATTGTACAAGGACTACGTGTGTTATACTCTTTCTCTAAATTAAGAAACATACATATTTTTTCATACATTTCTGAAGAGCTGATATGTCTCCAAGGCTCCCTGTCTAGGATAAACTCATTATTTCCCAAACTTCGTTGCTTGTCAGTAGTTATACTCTTTATCAATTTGAATTCTGCCCAATAGTTTCCCCGAGTACATCTAACAACCTAATTCCCTTGTAGTTTTGCTTTTCATTCTTCTGCCTTTTCCATCGCTATAGAGGAAGAGTAACATAATTCTTCCAATGCCTGAGGCAGAGATCCATTGTTGGCACATGAAAAATGTATACACAAAGGATATTTGCATGTTCTCCTTTTGAACCTTCAACACCTACAGTTTTATTGTTCTGCCCCATTCTGGGTTGTGTGTGTGTCTGTGTGTCTCTGTGTGTGTGCATATGCATAAACCTGTGTCTTTTAGTCAGTTTTTGACTCCTGTGGACTATCAAAACAAGTTCTTTGCAAAATTTGGGAAATTGTTTGCCATTGCCTTCTTCCAGGGACTAAGAGAATTGGACTGGCTCAAGATTACACCGCCAGATTTGTGGCTAAAGTGGGAATAGAACATTGTCCTAGTTACTAACCTGGTTTTTTAAACCTTTACACCAAAAGGAATCTTTCACTTTTATTCCCTTACGAACTTACAATTTCTAAAGTCTTCCTCTAGCATTTATTAACTTGACTTTTGAATAATATATCTTTAAAAAAAATCAGTTAACTCTGCAGGGATTTCATTGTTTAGCTTCTTAATCCACTCCCCAAACAATTTTCTATTTCATCAAAATTGTTCTCATTTTCTCGCTCTTTTAATCTTTAGTATTCCTTGCTCTTTCTGGTGATATTCTTTGCACTTAACTTTTTTCCTTGCCTATACATTATGCATTATATTTCTTTCAACCTCGGTTTTTTTTCAGCTTAATTCTCTTAAATCCATTTTTCCTCAGCCACGTTTCTACATTTGTTCTGTCAATCATTTTTTTTTCATTCTTTCCACTACTGTAACTCCATATACTATTATGCTATACTGTAATATATTTTTTTTAACTCTATTCCATGAAGTTTCCACATCCTTTCCTTAATATATGTGTCCCATTCATCCTTTTGGGACAATCTATCTTCTAATCTTTAAAAAAATGCATCAGCCATTATTTTTCTACCTACAATTCTTTTCATTTCTTTCACTTCATTTTTCCCCTCAAACTTTCTTAATGATATATATCTCATTCAGCATTAGTCATCACAGATGCACCCTTCACCAAGGGTGAAATCCAGCTGGTTCTGAAATTTTGAGTAGTTCGGAGAACTGGTAGCGGAAATTTTGAGTAGTTTGAAGAACCAACATATGCCACATCTGGCTGGCCCCAGAGTGGGGTGGGAATGGAGATTTTGCAGTATCCTTCTCCTGCCACACCCACCAAGACACACCCACCAAGACACACCACACCCACCAAGCCATGTCAACCGAACCGGTAGTAAAAAAAAAATGAATTTCACCACTGCCCTTCACTAATTTTATCAAGCTTTCATCATAAACAGTCAAACCATTCATGCTTTTAGATTTGTATAAATTCCTTTGCTATATGTTTGTAAATAAGTTAATGTCTAAGCCACATATTCAGAATGAAAAGACTTATTTCTAAAGAGATCTCCACAAGCCACAATTCTCATCAGATGGAAGGATGGATAGTTGATTGATGATAGATAGATAGATAGATAGATAGATAGATAGATAGATAGATAGATAGATAGATAGATNTATGTTCTAAAGTTTGAGTAGGTGGCTTTTTTCTTTCAGTTTTCTGAAAGTGGTGTAGGGTTTCCTGCCTAAGCAGGGGATTGGACTGGAAGACCTCCAAGGTCCCTTCCAACTCTGTTGTTCTGTTCTGTTCTGTTCTGTTCTGTTCTGTTCTATTCTATTCTATTCATCTAACCTGCAACTCTGAAATTTTCTGAGACTCCTTATTGACCAGCCAAGTTCTAACCTCACATAATAAGACTTAACTTTTTCAAATCAGTCAAGTTGGGATAAGTGCTGGTATATTTTTCCCACTAAAGGACACTTCTTTCTCGCCCAATGCTTTAATCATCAGAGCAGCAAACGCCAATGCTATTTATTTATTTATTTCCTATGGTGCTGTGATGAAAATTAGTTAAAAATGAGAAACTGCCCTTAACTTAAACGATTTCTCCATATAGAATGATGATGATGGGGAGGAGAAACATGTTTAATGCATGCTTTATAGCTGATGTGATGGATATGGCTGCCACGGAGAAAGCGTAAGACTGTGAAGTTCAGAGTTTGAAATTACTTAGCTGCACCGCTGGTTAGCATGATAGAAATTATTGAATGTGTCTGGGCCGATCTAGCAAGATATACTGTTGTGCAGACCAAGAACACTAGGTATGCTCAATAAGTTGCCTAATTATTTTTGACAAGACAGATAATGACTATAAAATGTAATTTTCATTCAGGGCAATATTTTGCAGGTGCTGCAATCTTTTATATTAGCTTTAGGAAGTTTGTCCAAAGAGCTCCTTATTAAATATTATATACGAAGATTATGCAATTATATGGTTACCTATAAGCAAGATGGGTATGCTTACTTACAAGAAAGCATTTTCATTAATAGTATTTCTCTCCTAATGGATGTGAATTGGAAATAAAGGTGACTCATTTTTAAAAAGGAATGTGGATATTAAAAAGTACTGCTGTGCTTCAGTATTAATTATGTAGGGTTACAGAGACAGAGACAGTAGCATTAGGTTTTATTCATATAAAATCATCACTCATTACAGAATACATACATTATAGAATGTAAACATACAGAATACAATGCATATATCTTTCAAGTTTTTTAGTAAACAAAAAAATGCATTAAAACACACCGTTTTTATGTTCAAGCATTAATTAATGTTACCTTTACACAACTTTGATATTATTTTCTAATGTGAAATATACAGGCCATGTCAATTTCTGTTATTGCTCTTGTTTAGTGGTCAACTGTTCGGATCCAGGAATCCCTGGAAATTCTATAAGAGAAAGCAAAATAGAACATGGAAATTTTACCTACGGTACAGTTGTTTTTTATGACTGCAGTCCAGGATATTTTTTATTTGGGTCTTCAATTTTAGTCTGTCAGCCGAATGGACACTGGGATAAACATCTGCCAGAATGTATTAGTAAGTATTTTAAAATATTGGTACTTATAACTAAAAATTTGCATGAAGAACAATATTAAACACTTGTATTTAAAGAGCTTCACAGCTGTTATCCAATTGCAATTGTTAGAAAAGGTAAGGTAAGTCAGTGTCTGAAATAATATGGACTATTGGGATAACCAATTAAATATGAGTTTATAGTGTGCAGTGGCAACCAAAAAACCAATGCAATCCTAAATTGCATTAACAGAGGGATACAGTTAAGATCAAGTGAGATACTAATACCACTCTATATAGCCTTAGTAAGATCACACCTAGAATACTTTACTCAGTTTTGGTCACCACACTATAAAGAAGATGTTGAGACTCTAGAAAGAGCGCAGAGAAGAGCAAAAAGATGATTAGGGATCTGGATGCTAAAACATAGGAAGAACGGTTACAGGAACTGGACATTGCTAGTCTAGTGAAGAGAAGGACCAGGGAAAACATGATAGGGGCTGCCACAGAGAGAAGGGGGTCAACCTGTTTTCCAAAGCACCTGAAGGCCAGAGAAGGAATAATGTATGGACTCTGATTGAGGAGAGTTTCAACCTAGAAATAAGGAGAAATTTCCTGACAGTAAGAACAATCAACTAATGGAACAGGCTGCCTTCGGAGGTTGTTGGCGCTTCAACATTGGAGGATTAGGGTCTCCTGCTTGGGTGAGGGGTTGGGCTAGATAACCTACAAGATCCCTTCCTACTCTTCTTCAATTGAAGCTTCTTAGATGAGAAGCGAAATATCTTCAAAGAAAAAACAAAATACAATTGCCTTTTGAAAAAGCAATCTTTGGGACAACCAGGACCTGGATAACTGAGAATCTTCATAGACAGTAGAATTTCTTCTTTGTTTTTTTTAAGGTGGTTTTTCCTATGTGGAAAACAGTATGATTTTCTGACTGAAATTATCCCAGTTCAGTCCTCTGAGATTTCTCTGATGCCTAAGATGTCAATGTGTAATCATCTTTTCATATGCTGAAATTTCCTATGTTCATGTATTTATTTTATTTACCTGTAAAACCCTCATCGATCTACCAGAAATGTTTCACATTCCCATGGTAACCTTGTCTTTACTACTTCAGATTTTCTTTTTTCTACCTGGCAACATCAATAATCATATGCCCCAAAGGCTTTAAACTATATGCATCGTAAAGACCATTAGTACTCCTCAGCTCTTCTTCAGTAGCTTGATGAAGACCATCTTACCTGAGGGACCCATTATCTGGCTTTATATCATCAATCACTTTAGAGTGCCTCTTCATGTGGTTTTTCTGGATATAAAAAAAGGGAAGGAGTGGTTTACCAGTGTTGTGATTCGTCAACTGCCCACAGAGATGGCAGATGAGTCAGAGGAGTCAGAGGAGATGGAGGGGGTGCCTGAGTTACCAGCAGAGCCAGTGAAAGGGTTTGAGGAACAGAAGGTCTACGATGAAGAGCAGGGTCCATCTACTCACTGTCAGGTGGAGAGACAGCTGTTTTCATGACTTGAGAAGAAAAAGGGAGGGAGGCCTTGTCCCAGATGTGTGAATGCGGAGAGAAATGCAGAGGGGAGAGCAATGCAGGACTGAGGGCCAGCTATCCAGGAAAAGAAGGAGACGTTAACAACATCCTCCCTGGCTGGCATATAAGGATGAAGAGTGCAGGTGGCATGGGTGTCAGATACATCCATTCATGCTCCATAAGAGTTCCCTCCAGTGGTTTCCTTGACAGGATTTCCTTGTGACTAACCATGTTGGTCATGATGCTTTGTATTGGGATTTAAGTGCTCATTGAGGCTTCCTGCAGGGAACTCAGAAACTGTTATAGCTAGTGAATCACCTATGGATGTGTGACCTGGAGCATTGTCAGTGAATTCCTGCCTTCCTAAGTAAAAAGGGGGATTTTCCTCACGAGTAGGCTGTTGAGTGGGGCTCGTGAAGGCTGCGTCAGAACAACTATTGTCTTTCTTCTACGGAGAATAAAATGAAGTCTCCATCCCCCATTGTCACTAAAATTCATATCTTTTTTCTGACATCTTCCTACATAGCACTTGCCTGCTCGCTTTAGTGGAGCAGCTAAAGTGGCCTTCACATTTTGGGTGACCTTGCTGAGGGTCACCAGTTCTCTTTGTTCATCCTTCTCAGAAACCCCCTTTTGCCATTATTTGAGAGGGTTGACTGACTTTCACTCTGCAAAATGAAAAGGAGGATGACCTTGTGGGGGAAAAGTGGAAAATGAATTATTATTCCAAAGTAATTGACCTTAGCTGGAAAACCAACTCTTGTCTAGATTAGCACTTTACAAGAAGAATTGATCGGGCTGACCAGCCAGCTGTTTTCAGGGAGGTAGATTTGATTTCTAAAACGCCATTATACTATTGATCTTGATCTTTGCATAGATATTTGTCATTTCTAGGTTCATTCAAAAGCAATTTTATAACAGTTCTTTTTAAAACTGAATTTTCAGGGTAATATTTCTCACAAAGCACATCTCTTGACTCCTAGGATTTATTCAAACTGACCTTTCCATTTCTTAACTGCTTCTTAACTGCTCTATTTTCAGAGTCAGAACAGGAGAAGATATCCTTTAATGTCCAAGTCTAAGTCCAAAATCTAATGTTTTCTGCATGATCACAATATTATCTCAAAAGGGGATGCTCTATAACAAAAAACTATTATTCCAGTACTTACTATAAATTCAGATAAGTCTACATAATGGATGTCAAACTGGATTTCTTTGAGGGCCAGATCAGCATTGTAGTTCTCCTCCATGGACTGGCTTGGGGGGGGGGGGATAGACAGGGCAAATGCCTCCTGCAGCATCCTTGTGACCAAAACAGGGAGGACACATGAGGCCCCCTGTGCCCCATTCTCAGCCTGCACAGCCTCCTGCAGCACTTTGCCATCCAAAACAGGGCAGGAGGGTTGCATGTGCCCCCCTGCCCCATTTTGGTTGCCAGAGGCACCGTGGGCCAATCCTTTGCTATTTCCAGGTTGGCCCTGTGGGCCAGATTTAAGCACAGTGCATGCCAAATCCAGCCCGCTGGCCTTGAATTTGGCACTTCTGGTGTACCTGTTTCTTTGTTTATTTTTAAAAGGGTTGAAATATAATGAACACATACACACACACACAGAGAGAATAGGTATAGGTTAGTTAATACATTGGTAATAATGAAGAACAATTTTCTCTATGAATTATATGAAAAACAAGGCTATAAGTTCAGCTTCATCATAATATTTTATTGATCACTGGTTAAACATATTGATGCTGTGTTGGCATAGTGAAGAATTTAGTTGGCTGATTATAACATAATTTTTATCTCCAATATTTATGTATCGTAGTGATTGACTGCGGTCATCCTGGCATTCCTCCAAATGCGATCCTTTCTGGAGAGAAATACACATTTGGATCTACTGTTCATTATTCTTGTTCAGGAAGGAGATCTTTAATAGGCCAGGCATCCAGGACATGTCAACTAAATGGACACTGGAGTGGAACAATGCCTCATTGCTCAGGTACCACTTTTAAAGTATGTGAATGTGCTTTTGAAACCATCCAATACAGCTTTCTATTTGGCTGCTCTTGTTTCCTTTTCAAGACTTCAAAACCAGACCACATTTAAATCACAAACAATTGTAATCAAAGATAAGTTTCAGATTAGGTGCCCTCATTCACATATGGACTCATAAATCTAGAAGGGAAGTGGTAGATTTCAAACAACATTTAGTGTAATAGGGAAATAGTAAATAGAATAGAAAGATTGAAAAGTAGGTAAGTCATTTGTATATTCTCTTCTTTTTGCATATTCCTGGGAAGGATGTTATATTTCATATGGGTAATTTGTGCATCACTATTGCCTTACCCTTGATTTGGAAAATAATTGCTGCATGCCAAAAGTCTTCATCCACATAATATCTGTTTCTAATGAACTCATATAGGGATAGTTTCTGGAGAAGATTTTTCACAACTATCTCTAATTCATGGCATATTAGAGAATTAAAATTCCACAAAGGTATCAATACAGCTTTCAAATAAATAGAAATATATAGTTAGATTAATAGTATAGATAGCAAGCAAGCACAGCTGTGCTTTTGTTGTATTGTTTAAAATTGTAATCACATCAGAACCATAACACATAACCTGAAGTAGGTTGAATGTCTTACCATTTTTCCTTAAACAAGTGTGTTGTGACAGTTTTAATTGTATAAATTATTGTTGTAAACTGTTAGACATCTCTGGCAAGTTCAGTTGTATATAGAAGTTATAGTATTATATATTAGCTACATCTTTAAAGTTAATGTTTTGGTGTTTAGGTTGCCCAACACTTTGGCTGTTCTGGTAAAGTCTTACCGGAGTTGAAAGTCATACAGCACTTATTTAGCGATTTGTGAGTGTGCCTGTATCTGTGTGTTGTTTACCTTGTGTTTGATAAATTTATCAGAAAGTTACAGAAGTGGATATCTTAGATTAAAACAAATGCATCTGTTAATGTCAAATAGATAACAGAATAATAACCAAGTTGTATTGTAGTTAAACAAAAAACTATTAAATGACATATTCACATAAGTTGAGGACTTGTGTACACCTTTATAAACAAGAAAGGACAAATCAGTTTCTGTGGATTAATTCCCACGTGGAAATTATGATTTTTGATCCTGAGAAGGTACATCTTCTATAGTAAGGTAGCAGGCTTAATAATTGTCTTGTGGCAAATCTGTGTATTCAAGAATTCCTAACATGCTTTGTTATTGTATCCTATTCTTTAATCACACAATAGGAGAGAAGAAGATCATATAATGGACCTTATTTCTATGTAATCTAATAATATTAGAAGGATTGCCTATATATGATTATTTGCTAAAGGGCATATACATGTGTAGATATAATATCTTCTCATATTCCATATGTAACTAGAAAAGTAGGAATATATTTCACCTTATTTTGCAATGCTTGTAATAAACTTACAAGCTTGAAGCTCCAGAAAGTTCTACAACTATTTTTCTTGTAATGCGTATCACATTTTACTCTTGGTAAGCTGAATTTTTATTACAATAATTTGGACACTGATTTTTGCTTCAGTGTAATTTAACCTGAAGATACTGTAATTTGACTCTAAAGTAGACAAGCCACTGACCAGATATAACTCATATTCTACATTGAACTGGACAGCTTCTTTAAAAAAAAATACCATGGAAATAAAGCATTGGTTTTATTTTGTTTTGATTGTTTGTTTGTTTTTAAAAATCAAGAACATTAAATAAGGTACTTGAAATTTCTATGGTCTTGACTGAGTACTGTATGTTCCAAATTGAGAAAGTCAGTGTACAATTACCAAGTCTGGAATGGACATCCTTTTTTTGGTAGCCTTTTATTTTTGTACTGATTATAAATTGATTCCTCTTGTTTCAGGTTCCTATAGCAGGACCAATACAATATAACCCTAAGTATTCTACCCCAAATGATATTTTTTTTCTTCCAGGTGACACAGCAGGGACTTGTGGGGATCCAGGAATCCCAGGCCATGGTTCTAGGGAACAAACTAATTTTAGAACTAAAAGTGTTGTACAGTTCTCTTGTGAGCTTGGTTACATCCTTCATGGATCAGAAGAAAGAACTTGTTTGGCAAATGGAAGTTGGACAGGAAGGCAACCAGAATGTAAAGGTAAATTATTTTCATAACTATTGGTTTTAAAATTGCTACATGAGTCTTTATAAAACAAAGTGTTATAATAAAGTCATTATATATCTGAAATCTATTAGCTGCTTATATTATCCTTCATGACCCTAATACAGTCAGGTATAGTTTTGATGACCTAAAATTTTTATATATGTGTGTGTGTGTGTGTGTGTGTGTGTGTGTGTGTGTGTGTATGTGTATATATGTATATATGTATATATGTATATATGTATATATGTATATATGTATATATGTATATATGTATATATGTCTATATGTATATATATATATACATATATACATATACATACACACACACACACACACACACACACACACATAAACACACATCACACGCACACACTGAGTGAATCAGATCCTACGATAACTTCCAACAGTTTCAGTCCAGAATGGGACAACTCACCACAACTGACTGGTCACGCCCAACCGGCCACAGGACAAATCGTCGCAGGACAATTCAATGCGGCATTAGCCAAGAGAGTGACAGGTTCATTTGGAGCAAGCCTGGTCTTGCTTTTAAGTTTGAACCTTCTCAGGTTAGAATTCCTTGAGGCTGGGATGAGCTGCAATTCTACTTGTCCCTCTCTTGGGTTATACTGTGTTGAATTGTCCCACGGCAAGTTGTACACCTGTTTCAGTCATATATATATATATTCAGTGACCTATCTGTCCTACATCCTACTCATGGTCATTTAGGAGAAGAAAAGGAAATCAGATGATGAAAGGTGCATTATGAGGCACCCTTCAGTATTTGCATGCAACATCATGATTCAAGTTCAGAGGACAGGGTTTATATAATTTTGTCATTTTGGTTTCATGAAGTTAAGTAGGACTGCTTGCTTAATGCAACCTAGGCAAGCCAAAAAGTTGGACACCTGTGACTTATAGCATTGCAAACAGTTGTACTCATGTGTTTTCCAAGGATCATATCTGTAGTGGAATTTTTAAAAATCCTACCTTACTTTTTGAATATGGTCACAACTCTATGATATCCTTGTGCTCTCTGAGCTAAGTTGATGGTCTTCTAAACTGCTACACAATATACAGAGTATACATCCTAGGAAAAAGTTAAAAAAAAACAAACAGTAGTGTTCCGATATTTGAGGGGCTGCCACAGAGAGGAGCAGGTCAAGCTATTTTCCAAAGCACCTGAAGGCCAGACAAGGACTAATGGATTGAAACTGATCAAGGAGAGATTCAACCTAGAAATAAGGAGGAATTTTCTGACAGTGAGAACAATCAACCAAGGGAAGAACTTGCCTTTGGAAATTATGGGAGCTTCATTACTTGAGACTTTCAAGAAGAGATTGGACTGCCATTTTTCAGAAATGGTGTAGGATCTCCTGCTTAAGTGGGGGGGGGGGTCGGATTAGATGACTTATAAAGCCCCTTCCAACTCTGTTAATCTGTTAAGGAGAGTGGCCTTCTAATAAAGCAGATTATTTGTTTTCCTAATATAGAATTGTTTGTCATGACAAGCAGGGAGATATATTTCTCATAGAGATGTTAGAAATTGAATTTGAATATATCTATAGACAAATTATATTTTCTTTCCTAGAGATAGAACCCATCCAGATTTAAAATTGTCAGGAATACTAAGGTTTTAAAAAATAGTCACAATCACAATAAAATGAATTCCTCCAGTCCATGACACAGCACAAAGTATGCTAATATTAAGTTTTCTACTTCAGAGGCCTTTCCGTCTTAGTGAAGAAGTTGGTATTTGGCATTGTCCTTGGAGTTTCAGTGTAGAACAATGACCATCATTCAATATTTTACCAACTGGGAACTAAACTCCTTTCATTGATTATATTTTAAGTTATATTTTTTTCAACATACATACATTTGATTTCTGTTTTATGTAATTTATGCAACTTTCTGTGCTATGGTACACTTTTTTATTAAGATATAGCTAGCACTTGTATACTTTTTTTGTAACTATCCTTCCTAGAATGAGGCTATTTTATCTTCCTCCCACAACTTTTCCATAAGATTCTCTTTGATACTATTGTCATTGTCTTTGCTGGTCTTTTAAAATCAGCACATTTTCTACAAACTAAAATTCATGTGTGATTGACATTGATAGCATCTGACATCATTGTATTCGCTGTGGGAATATCATTTGTTCCAAAGAATTTGAACAGTAATTAGTGTTTGAGGAGTACAACAAAACAACTTGACTTTAGCATTTTTAGTAACATTTGAGCACCCCACCAGCAGAAATAATCATGTACCTTACAGGTGTGTAGTGAATTATACAGATTTGTTTATTTTAAATACATTTGTGTATTAAATAACTATGTACTGCTTGCAAAATCTGGCTAGATTTATAAATATGGCTAGTGATAAGAGCTCTCACTTTTCACAAAATCAATTATTATGGTGTGTATTTAAATTACAATTCAATTTTATATTAACTAGAAGTTGGGGATCCATAATGAGCCACAGTGATTTCAAAATGATAAGTGCAACATGACTTCACTACACAAATGATACAATTATTTGTTTGTATCATGAGGCAGGTGTAGATATTTCATTCATATGATGGGAAGTTTACACACATGCATATATACATACAGACACATATTTGTGTCAAAATGGCCTGAAAATACTGAATTACAACACACACACAAAGGAAATGCATAAAAGATTTGTGAATTTTGAAACTGGACTATTCAACCTGGGATTTTTCTTAAAATAAAACAATTTTATGAATCAAGCCATAGATAAGAGAGTGAGATTATGCTAGGTGTTATTAGAGACTTGCTTTCTAAATGTTTACCAAAGCTGAATTGTATGAGTGGGTTTGTTAAAGTAAAAAAAAGATTATTTATGTTAAAAATGATTTTTTTATGATTTTATGATTTTCAGTAGGTAGTCATTTGTACTCTAGTGTACTATAAAATGTACATGGCTTTGTGCCCTGTAGCTGTGATACTGAATAATTTATTTACTTTTCAGAATGCCCATTTTCCTGCTCAGAAGCAGTAAATGATCAGAAAAAAGTGATAACATTTGATATAAAAAATGAAGCTGATAAAAGCAAACTGTTTCGCCTTTTCAACAGTAGATAAAATCTGAGAATATTTTCATGAAAAGTCATGAATTTTGAGCTATAGTTCAGCATTTTAATTCAAGCTGTGTAACAATTTATATGGAGGAATATTTTTGATAATCTGAAAACTGCATCCATATTTCAATCAAGAAAAATTAAAGAAGGGCTCCATTTCAGCTGAATATATGAAAATTTGGGAGGAAAACTCAAGGCATTTGGGCAAGTTTTATGTCACTGAAAATGAAGGTGTTTTTTTTTTTTCCTTCATGTAAACTACTTTTTAACGAGTAGATTGGATTGTTAGTTGCAACTTCAATTATTTAAGCTATTAAGTAATTGTTCTCTGTGTTTGTTTTCCTTCCCAATTCTGGCATTTTCACACTGACTGTTCAAGCTGTTCAGTGTGGTAATCCTGGAACAACAGCTAATGGGAAAGTGTTTCAAATTGATGGCACAACATTCTCTAGTTCTGTGATTTATTCCTGCATGGAAGGCTATATTCTGTCTGGACCTTCTGTGCGACAATGCACTGCCAATGGGACGTGGTCTGGTTCCTTGCCGAATTGTACAAGCAAGTATCCATTGTTCCTACTATTATTGCAATCTTTAGAACACCACCTACAGCTTCTGTATTTGGGGAAAGTCAGATTGGGGAGAAAGAGCAGGCTGGTGCCAGAATCATCCCTGTTGCAGATTTAGCTTCCCCACCACCCAGGACCAGGTTTCCAGAGCTTGACCATTCAAGGTTGTTCCATGCAAACCAATGATGTTGTCGTAGCTTCTCTACACAGGGAAGGCAGAGACAGCTTGGAAACTTGATGCATCCATCAAACTCTTCTTGTGTAACTTATGATGCATCTCCAGTGTTCCTTGCCCTTTGTCCCTACTTTCCTCTGTTTTTATCTTTACCCACTTGACTCCCATTTTTGAAGGGAAGAGTGGTCCTCTCTGTCATTGGCCTGCTAGTGTTAATAGTGCTTCTGAGGCTCTGAGATTTTCAGCACTCAATATAATGGTTGACCTGAGTGACTAATGACAGCAAAGATGGGTGAGAATTTACGGCGGCAGATTTAAGTATCATGCAGTCACTGAAAGTCAACATTGCCTTGATGGCACATAATCAATACATTTAATGGCAAAAATGGAAAGAATATTATTGCTTTCTTACTGTAAAGATGTATTATTTTGTATATGTGGGTGGAATATTTTGTAATGAAAAGATGTACATGTTAATGAACAACTGTGTACACGTTAATGTACAACAATGTAGATATGCCTAAGCAATTCCTGACCCTGCTGTTTCACACCACATATGCTCATTTGGGCAAAAAAAAATCATGCCTGAGTCTACCAGATTCAGATTTCCTGGAGCCATTAGACAAGGCTGCATCCTTTACCCCTTTAACAATGAGTTCTTTTTGGGTTGGAAGATGAAATATTTGTGTCCTTACACATTATGTCAAACTCTAAAGTACGGTCTCCTTAAGCTGTTCAAGCAATCTCTAAAGCAGACAATTTACACAAATTTCTGCCCTTTGCTAAATAGAATTGTCTTCTCTTTTCAAATCAGCATAGTAGGTGAGATGCTGAGAGAGAGAATAAAGAATATCCCATTTTATTATCTCACCATCTTGATACAGAAGATGGTGGGCAGGTAAGAGAGGACCTTTTTGGTAGCAGCTGTTGGGAAACTTCTCAGCTAGGCTGGAAGAGGCAATGAGAGTCAAGCATGGAATTATTTTAGAGTCCTTGCATAGCCTCAAAAGACATAAGTTTGAACTCCCCTTCCTGCCTAGCTGGCTGTTTCCCAATGGCAGCAACTTGCCATTGTGAATCAGTCTCCAGAATTTTGCCAGATAAGGTTATCTTGTCTTAATTCAACCTTCACAAAGTTAGAAAAGTGGAAATGAAAGCTGGAGTCTTAATTCCTTGACAAATGGATTCTGTAATTAGTAACAAATGTCACCTAATGTGACAAACTCAGCTTGCTTACAAAAGCTGCTACACAAAGGAAGTTGCCTTAGATATCACATTATACAATTATTCTAGATTGTTCACCTTGTAAAATCGGGGCACCCTTTAATATATCCTCATTTTCTTCCCCTTTATAGTAATCAGTTGTGGAGATCCAGGAATACCAGCCAATGGATTGAGATACGGGGATGATTATGTAGTTGGACAAAATGTTACTTATATGTGTCAACCTGGATACACAATGGAAGCCAACAGTTCCAAAATTCGTACTTGCACTAGTAATGCCACATGGAGCGGAATGCTGGCAACTTGTAAAGGTACTGCTTTGAATCTGGGTGAGTGGGTGGTGAGAGGGAGAGATGGGGGGCAGAGAGAGAGAGAGAGAGAGAGAGAGAGAGAAAGTTGATAAATGACCTTGGAAGTCAAAGGAAAAGCCACAAGTAGATGAGGAGTTAGTTAAGATGTAGCTTAGCTGCCATGTGACTACGGCAAATGTCTCATAAGGGACTTTCCCTAATTTCTTGGGCTGCAAAAGTCATGGGGATGAAATGTAGTTTCAGGCATGCATGGTTGATGTTGGCCTTGTAAAGTTGTCCAGGAGGAAAGGACACCCGGGTGAATGAATTCCACTTTATTCTAAGATTACATTAACAGAATTTTGTAGGTTTCAAAGTGCATTTCTCCTTCCTTCTACATTCTTTCTGCCTCTTATCCAACCAGTCCCCTGGCTGTGGCTCTCCCCAGGGTTTTCCAAGGTGATTCCCACACACCATTACAGAGAGATCTGTATGTGTTTACAGTAGTACCTTAGTACTCAGCTGGTTCAAAACTCATCAAATTTAGTACTTGATGCATTTCGATTGAAAAATGTTGTCCTGGTATTCATCTTAGTTTGGTTTTCAACATTCTGCAAACGGAAGTGGGGGTCCACTAGAGAGGGTAGACAGAAAGTCAGCCACGTGGGAAGGTTGCTACAAAAGAAGTGGGGGACAGCCACAGAGGGCGGCAGGAAGACAGCCATGCTGGGAAGATCTGGAAGACATAGGAAAAGGGACAGATAAAAAGTCCTTCCCAGCTGAAACAAAGAGCTGAGTGGTAAGGTATATGGTTTGTTTGGTACTCGTCCTTTTTAGTACTCATTTGCCTCCAGGAACCAATTAAGGATGAGAACTGAGATACCAGTGTATTAAAACGATTGAATATGATAATGCTGCATGTGGACTTGATTTGGCTTCAAAATGATTCCCTGATGCAAATCATGCACTGATGGACCAGAATAACAAGTAAATACATATAGGTAGAAACCAGATTTAGAATGGTTCCTTCAACCTTATTTCCTGAACAGTCAGAATTATATCTAATTGCATCCCTCCCAATATCTATAGCATGTCCATAATTCAAACAGTGTTCTGCAGAGTGACATGAGGATATGCCATTTCTGATGAGATTATAAAATAGGGAATGCATTTCTATTAACTTTTTTATATCTTAACCTATCTTAGTATTCAAATTGTGATGATTGGTTTTTAGCGACTGGGTTATGTATCTCAAAATAAAGAACTAAAGAAACAGTCCTTCCCAACTTTATTTTTCCTTATGTATGTGACTGCATAATTGTCAGGCAAAGTGCCCATCGAAATGGCAAGAGGCTGTGAAAATAAACAATACTTAAGCAAGGAAATATGATTTGCAAAAAAAAAACACCCATACAGCAACCCATTTTTCTTAAAAAAAAAAAAAAGTTGAATTAGCACATATGGTTATCATAGTGAGTATAGACACAGGAGACATTTGCTGCAGCTGCTATGCTAATGACTCTAAATGTTATTACAGCTGTTACCTGTCCAACTCCACCCCAGATTTCTAATGGAAAACAGGAAGGAATAAATTTTGATTGGGGGTTCAGCATTAGTTATGTCTGTTCACCTGGCTATGAATTATCATTTCCTGCTGTTTTGACTTGTGTTGGGAACGGAACATGGAGTGGTGAAGTCCCACAGTGCTTACGTAAGTATTTTTAAAAAAATATTTGCATTCCAGGCTGATAGTTGTTTCCATTCAATCTTAAAAGAAAACATAACAAAAGAAAAACTGTCAATATCTGTAAGAAATAACTATAATATTTCCTCCACACACCCAATCAAGCACTGTGACTCAGTGGCTTAAAAGATGCCACAGAAGGTTGATGCACTGGTGTTTTGAGTCCTACATTGTGTGACAAAGTGAGCTCTCATCATTTGCCTCATTTTCTGCCAACCTAGTATTCAAAAGCATGCCTCATGCAAGTAGATACATAGGTACCACTTTGGCGAGAAGGTAACCGTACGTCAAGTTTCACTGGACTCTCTGCTGTGGTGTGATATAATACTGGCCACATGATCATAGAAATAACTGTGGATGGCATTGGCTCAATGGCCTAAAGAAATGGAGATGAGCATTGCCCCCCAAAGTCTGCTGCAAGAAGTGAGACAGGAACCCACAGGGATTCTTTTATCTTTACTACATACACAAATCCAACAAAACTGAAAGGTCCTTTAATATCCATTATAAAACAAGGGACAAATTGCAGTGACCAGATAGGCGCTTGTGATCTCTTTCATCTTTGCTTTCTAGTCCTTTTTTCTTTAAAGATTTTAACTCCAATTAAACAGTTTAATCGGTCAGTTGTCATCTACAGCGACAACTAACCAGTTCTGGTTGTTTCTTTGTTTAGTTTATTCCTTCAAGTGTGTATTGACTTCTGGCAATTCCTTGGAGAAGAGCCTGCAGATTTCTTGGCAAGGTTTTTTTTGAACTGGCTTGCTATTGTCTTATTCCTGGGATTAAGGGGGAATGACTGGCTCAAAGTTATCCAGCTAGTTTCATGCCTAAGGCAAGAACTAAACTTCATGGTATTTAGCCTTCTGCCTTGACCACTACACCAAATTGACTCTTGTCTGTTTTAAAGCTGATAAGCAAAAAACTAATGAAAAATAGAAGTCTTATTAGAATTAATTAATCAATCAATGATGCTTTCAGGAGGTTTAATTATAGTCATAGCCAGGATGAGAAAGGTGGTGATAGCAGTGGTGGGTTCCTACCGGTTTGGACCGGTTCAGCGGTAGTGGTTTGGCAGCCTGGGTCACTGGAACCGGCAGTGACCCAGGCCTGCCAAGCTCCCAAACTGGTTCTCTGGGTGGCGCCATCTTGTTTTTCACTTCTGTGTATACGCAGAACAATTTTTTTTTGCACTGCACATACACGTGAAATGCACATCAAGTGTGTGCGCGTGTAGCATGCCCATGAGGAAACCAGCAATAGTGCTGGCTGGAATCCACCCCTGGGTGATAGATTGCAGTGAAATGAGGAAGTATAGTGGGAAAGTCCCAATTTTCATGGATGATATAATCAAAAGGTGAATTTTGCAGTGACTGCTGTTAACTACTGAAACACTTCCTTGATATGCTGATGCACCCCTATTTTCCTGAATGTTCAACACTGCATCATATTTGAAATTGCAAGTAATCCTTGACTTATAACACTTCATTTAGTGACTGTTCAAAGTTACAACGACACTGAAAAAAATGACTTATGATGATTTTTCACACTTAACAATCTTTGTAGCATTCTCATGATCATGAACAATCACTCATATCCCTAGTTTTTTTTTTTTAATGAAATTGTAGAGGAAGGACTATTTTGTCTCATACAAAACCTAAAGCAAGTTTGTCAAACTTGAGAAAAATGTCAACAAGAGCTAGTCTGAACATGAATGTTTTAACCAGGAATACCTGGATAATTTTTGTATTGTGGCTGACATTTGCAATGGCGAAATCTGTCCAGCCTGTGTCCCTGACAATTGGACTTCTGTTCCAGTATTATATTAAATTACCGATTTATGCAGAGGTTTTTATTAGCATAAAATTGGTGACACTGATGGATTTTGCATAGCTGCAGATTTCATTACAATAACAAATGTATGCTTACTTTTTACAGAACATTTTGTGAATATTTCTTTCTTTTGCTGTGGGAAAAAAGTATTAATTTTTTTAACAGAATAAATTAAATGGGCTGGATTATCAAAGAGAAGAGGAATGATCCTTCTTGTTTTACAATAAAGAAAAAAAACTTTGCAAATAAAAATTGAATAAAACTGTAATATTTTACATTCAAAAGTTCAGTGATACTGTATAATGTAGAAATGCTGTATTTTGATTAATGGATTAAAACCCATTTATTTTACTCAACAGATTCACAAATCTCGATCATTTTCCTAAGTCTTGTAATCTTTTTCAATCGCTACAAGATCTTCCTGTTTGATATGATTTGTGACGGCAAGAAGATTAAATCTTTTGAGGATTTAAAGCTTTCATGTTTTAGTTATTACAATAATAAGTGTTTATACAGTCTGTTAGAGAGTGGAGATCATATTTCATTCCACCTTATTGGCAGTTGATTTTATATAGTTGGAATTGTGAGCCAAATGTGATTATGGTGGCTGAATAACAGAAGAAGCCATGGTATTATTAATTAACAGAGCAGAAGCAAAAGCTCTCTTTGACCAGATAAAGGAGGAGGAGAACATTGAAGTATGAAAACTATAAGATGGAGGAAGCAAAAAACATGACCTCTGAATTCATTTCTCAAGCTGTCCAAAACATTTCTTCTACACTTGACTTGGACAAGAGGATAGATGGGGAACTCATCCAATATGCAGATGACACCAAGCTGGCAGGAATAGCCAACACTCCAGAAGATAGGCTTAAGATACAGAAGGATCTTGACAAACTTGAACATTAGGCACTATATAACAAAATGAAATTCAATGGAGAAAAAAGTAAAGTTCTACATTTAGGCAAGAAAATCAAAATACAAAGCATACAGAATATGTGGTACCTTGCTCAATAGTAGTAACTGTGACAGGGATCTTGGAATCCTAGTGGACTACCATTTAAATGTGATCCAGCAGTAGGCAGCAGCTGCCAAAAAGGCCAAAACAGTTCTAGGCTACATAAACAGAGGGATAGAATCAAGATCACGTGAAGTGTTAATACCACTTTATAATGCCTCGGTAAGCCACACTGTAATACTGAATTCAGTTTTGGTTGCCACAATGTAAAAAAGATGTGGAGACTTTTGAAAGACTGCAGAGAAGAGCAACAAAGATGATTAGGGGACTGGAGACTAAAACATATGAAGAACAGTTGCAGGAACTGGGTATGTCTAGTTTAATGAAAACAAGGGCATGATAACAGTGTTCCAATATCTCAGGGGCTACCACAAAGAAGAGGGAGTCAAACTATTCTCCAAAGCACCTGAGGGTAGGAGAAGAAGCAATG